GTATTTCAGATATTTTCTGGATCTGATTTTAAACTGAATTGATTTAACTATGTCTTGAACAGGTAACAGGTAAACTCATAAGTAAATTTGTGTCTGATAGAAAAATTTTAAAATTGCTGATCAGTTTTATATTCAATATCTAGTAATCATAAATAATTTGTAAAACAGGAAATAAACTACTGTTATTCAATGCATAATTTAATGGTTTGGGCCCATAGCCAAGAAACAATTTTGAATTAGCTCTTGGCTACATTATTTTCTTATACCATTGGGTCTGACAAATAATATCTTATTGAACATGATAGCTTTCAAACAAATACAAAATGTGAATTTAATTTATCTGTTCTATGTAAATATTATTTGCCCTTTTTTGCTAAAAGCAAACATAAAATTAAGAAGTATTATATTTCTAGAAAATACATCATAGACTTCAGAATTATTTAATTTTATTCTAAGAGGTAAGTTTAAAGATCTGTGATTTTACTTAGTAAATCTGAATGAATGTTGAGAGAAAACACTGATAGAATTGCTCTTTCTATTCTAATTCTTGTTCTAATTTATGTTCTTGTTTAAATTCCTATATTCAGTGCCTATCTTTATTTTTTTGCATAACACTTTCAACATTTGCTATTATTGTGTTAAAAAAAATCCTGCTAACTGCCTCTTTATGCTAACCCATCAGATCAAAGTTAGATCCTTTATTATCTGAGGGTGGTAAGTGGAAGCCTTTTGAAGCATTTACCTGGCATTTTATTTTTGTTTCAAGTTCATTTTAGACTTACACTTTCTAAGGCCTAGGAATCCTAAGCTAATACAAATCATTTTCATTCAGAGATTTAGTAAACACATCTTTCTACTCTTTTTACTTCCAGAAGTGCCAGATGTTTGTTTTTCTTTAATTTGGACAGTACAGCTCAGTAAAATCCAAATATATTTTCTAATCAATTGCCCAAAACCGTTAGTTGAGAGGGTTTTTGTTTTGTGAGTATTGCATATATGTGTGCACATACATCAATTTCTTTTGTATAATTGAAAAAAATTTTTTTTATGTTTGGAAGACACTTGCTTCTTATATTTTGATTTCTTAAAATGATAATGCCATTTTAACTTATGGCAATGCCTGTGTATTTGGAAGACAGCTCATTAAAGCAAAGCAAGGAAAGAGAGGTACAGTTTTAAAGAAATCGGCTTCTCCCTGGTCAGTGAAGGTCTATGGCAATATACTGGCATAAATCTGTGTGTACATTTGACTATAGATATATAGCATTCAACACTAACCATTAGAAATACAACCTATGGCTATATGGAATTCTTTCACACAATATAGTAAATGAAACACTGGATTTGACATGGAAAATTTAGCAAATATGTATTAAGGTGCTAAAACTCAGGGAGAGCCTACTTTAGATTACATTCTAAAAAAAACCTTACAAGTAAATTTATATTTTAGTTATCAGAAGAAGTCTTTGTCATATACATTCCTCTATGCCTTCTCATATTGCTGTAAGTGAAACAAAATTGCATATATACTTTTGATCCTTTTGATGGGAAGTACACTTTACGTGTAATATCCTTTGGCAGGACTTACCTAGCCAAAAAAAACAAATTAATATTGGGCATCCTGAGGGCTGTCAGGCATATCACAGACATGTCAATTTAACTTTGCTTCATCATACACCTTCTCTGTGAACAGTTGGCTAAGATGCTAAAAAAAAAGGGACTCTCCCAATACATTTTGTTATTATATCAGAGACGGATGTCTGGAGGTGTAATGAAAACCAGCTTGCTTCTCTTCTCTTTCAAACCCGTAGGAATACGGTTAGCATAGATAATAATAAGTTTTGTAAAACAAAAAATATTATGGGCTCAATCAAATCTTTCTACTACCCAGGAAGAAAAGTAAAATAAAAAAAAAAAAAGTCTTTGAAGTGGTGAACCTTGGTTGCTCTTATTTGTAAAGTAAATAAAAACTTAAGGAAGTGGAGAATCAGAAGGAGTGCAGGCAGCTCTTTCCATAGAGGACATCTCTTTTTTTTTTTT